AAAGTTTTAAGCTAATTTTATTTTTTCAATTTATAATCCTAATTCGTAAAACTATAAGCTTAACTACTATATAAAGTTGATTATACATAATCCTCTAAAGTATTCAAAATGAATAATTAATTTGTAAAAATTACCTAGTTGCTTTTGACTCAACTATAAACTTTTGACCTAACCTAGAATTTTAGCTGTAACTTTCTAAAAAGCAATAATTGATTTTGGAAAATCACGTAAATAATTGTAGCCCGATTAAAAACTATAAATCTAACCGATATTGTGTGAATATTCAAATCTGTACGATTTGATTGAGAATATTGATTTTCTTTCTATTTATGTGAATATATCGAACGGTTGAATGTTTACGCTTGGCCGAAGGGAAAGTCTTCTTCGTTTGACAGAAAAAACGGAAAAAGAAAGATAGAAAGAAAGAGAAAGAAAAACAAGATAGTAACGCGATACCTACTTCATGAAGTAGTATATACGTACAAGTTTATGTACTTAGGTACCGTGTGATTCATGATAAAATGAAAGCTTCGTTTCCGTAGGATGCAGAAGATAAAGCTTTCCGTTGCGAAATCACGAAACGCATCAGATGTGTCCGCGCAAAAGAATCCTCTTCCCCCTCTTTTTCCTCGATTTCCTCCACCCTCCTTTATTTTTCGTTCTTAACGTAGTCATTTACTTTCCCGATGCATTTAAGGAGCGTGCATGCATGGATTGCAAGAAAAGTGTTCCAGTTTTTAAATGGCCTTTAAGTCCAGTAAAAATTCCTTAAAGACAGTAATGTTAAAATATCAGAATACAAGTGTGCGACCGAATATGTTTTCATTATTTTTGGATTTAATTATCTCGAGAATAAATAATCGTAATGAGATCTAGTCGCTTTTTTTCATGTTTTACAAGAACAAAAATATTAGCTTAGCAACTAATCAAGTTTCCGAAGTTTTCTAAATATTTTGAAAAGTTTATTTTTCAATAAAAATTAACAAATAATTAATCAATAATGTATTTTATGTATTTTTCCTTTTTAAAATTTAAAAAAACGGCGGGAACTTAGTTGCCAACCGAATATATAGTTCCATTTAAAAATAAACAAGATCTTCAAATCTTGTAAAATAAAAATAACCTTATGAAAAAATTATTTCAATCGTTAGATTTCTTTCTTGCAATAGTGCAATTTTTCTCTATAAAGTTCTTTAAAACGATTGTAAACAAAGGAGATATTTGAATAATCTGATTTAACTGATAATGAGACACCCTATATGCGTAATTACATATATGATGTTTTAAAAATTTGAAGATGAACTAACAGTATATACATATAAATGTACATCTTGTATATAAGATATCACGTAATATGCGTTTATGTTAAAGATGAGAAGATCAAAGGAGAGGAGGAGTATATATATATTTAATATATCATATGTTTATATGTATTAACATAAAATACAATAAGCATAAGTGTATCACTATACGTATACAGTCAACCCTCCTATAACGCGGTACGCACTCACCGCGTTATATGGAAACCGCGCTATAAGAAACTCGGATTTAACCGTACAAACCAGGCTAATTCGTAGCGCGTTCTATGGAAACCGTCTACCGCGTTGTATGGAAACCGCGCTATAAGAAACGCAGAATTAGTACAAATCACATCATTCGTACCGCGTTATATGGAGACCAATAAGGACAAGATAAATTATAAATTATTTTTATTGAATTGAAGAGTTTATATAAAGAAATGATACCAAAACTAGACTAAAAAACTGTTTTCCAACAAAAACAAGAAAGACTTTTGTAAAATTTAATAGATTCATTCAACTTGGTTGATTTTGCAACCGACGATAGTTTTTCCCCGCCTTCTAAACGATTTAGAATTTCGATTTTATCTTCAAGAGATATAAACTTTCTTTTTAAYCCTTTCCTTGTTTCTTTCGTGTTTGACATGATGCAAATCTAGGGTTAATAATTACTTTATTATTATTATATTAGAACAAATGAAGAATATTACTTACAGTATTGTAATATATATATATAATATATATAAGAGGGCTGTCGCATTTTCAGCTCCGCGTTATATGGAAACCGCCTTCTGAAAGTACCGCGTTATAGGAGGGCTGTCGCATTTTTAGCTCCGCGTTATATGGAAACCGCGTTCTGAGAGTACCGCGTTATAGGAGGGTTGACTGTATATTAAAGCTGAGGAGGTGAACAAGTGGAATATATAAATATATGATATACGCATATAGATACATTTGTGTATATAGCTTATGTAAAAGATGAAGAGGTGTAAAAAAGGGAGGAGAAGGGGATGGAAAGTGGGAGGTATAGATCGAAAACGCACTTTTCTTTACGGCCTACGCACTACAACCTGACTACTTACTTCGTAGTACCTTACTCTCTAACACTATTACTTCGATCGTGTATGTGTATTGGTATATGAATGATATGTATATATCTTGGATACATAGGTATAGCGTCGTTTAATTATGCGACGTTAACCTCGTCAACTGGGAGGCAAAACTCGTGCTTCTAATTAACGAGAGTTTCTACAACGCCGACAATGCTAGAGAAAGAGAGAAAGAGAGGAAAAGAGGACAAGAGGAAGAGAGAAAGTTTACTTACCTAAAATTATTTTGTTTTCTTTTTATTTTTCAAAATTCATTTTTCCGCCATCATGTCTTGAGTACGTATGCTTCTCAAATAGAATGAAATATCAGCCAGTTGCATGATTTTTCATTTCATTTAGAAAGTTCATGCAAAAATTTACTTTCTTTTTCTTTCTTTCTTTTTTTATTTCTAGTTATATTTTTTCTCATCCTCCTTCCTACGGTTTTCCTTTGCTTTTGAAATTCACTTGGTTCATAAGAAAATTTGTTATTTAATGTTTGCAATTTTTGGATGATCAAAGAGAGAGAGAGAGAGAGAGAGAGAAAAAGAGAGCGTGCAAGAGAGGAAAAATATTTTTTAAACGAGATCAGCAGAGGAAAATCTTGTTACGCGCAAATTTTTCTTTAGATATAAAAATGCCTGTGAGGAAATTGTAGAAAGGAAAAAAGGAATAGAATCCTTCGCAATAAACGTAAGAATAACTTGAGCAAACGTGAAAATTGCTATGACACGTATTACGTGCCATAACGTTTATAGTTTTATTTTACGACTATATATTTTTGACGGACTTGCATAGAATAAACCTATAAATCAAAAGTATGAGTTTTATCAACAAAATTATTAAAATATTATTTAAAATGAAATATAAGATTCAAGATTTGTTGATACATTTTGAACGTGAAAGATACTAAAATATACATAAACATGAGCAAAAAATAATTTTGTTGAACATATTTGCATATTTATATTGTTTTGATTAAAAATTTCCACCAGAAATATATGTTTCAGTAATTTTAATAGTAAACTATGTCGACAATTTATAAATATATTAATTGAATGATTTATTTTGTAATATGAATAATTATAATATTCAAGATAAAACCATAAAGCCGCAAGTTATTTTAATTTTTAGACTTACAATTAGTAGGCTATCCATAATTACATCATACATTATCTAATAGATACACACAGAGTTTTTTGTAACAGACTCAATAGGAAAAAAAAGACATTCTTAAACCATGACAATTTTTGCAAATTTTTGTGAGTGTCTTCCATCAATTCTAAAAATTAGGTAAGTTTATATATAATATGAGGTGTATCCAGGGTTCTATGGGATTCAACCTGTATACGTATATGCATTCACACGGAGGTTAAAGTTTGCAACGATTATTGAAGACAATATCAAATAAGTGTGCTAACATCAGTCGTAATAAAAAAGAAAAATAAAAAAATAAAAAAATAAAAATACAAGAAAAATCCTCGTACGCATATAAAGAAAGAAGTGGGAGTTGGAGAAGGGAGGATTGAACTCCCGAATTAATTAGATGAACTATTAAAGCGTGCTCCATTAGCCTGGATATCATCTTGCAGCTTCTCCGTTCAGACTAATTATCATCGAGCAATTAACAGAACCGTTGATTACCATTAACGGTGAAAATGCGCACGTTCGTTAAGATTTGCAAGGGCGACGATCCTTCTACTCTTCAAATAATATTCTTCATTTCTTTTTTTTTTACTATTTATTTCTTTTATTATGGTTGAGAATGAAAGAAGCAACGTGGATTCAAAGAGAGAAAAAATGAGATGAAGACATACGTAATGGAGAAAAAAGATTGTGCCCTTTTAAATAATATTAAGCATATAAATTAATGCAGTGCTTTTTTAAAAGAAATAATTCGAATTCTTTTTCGATGTAATATATTATTCTTTTTTTTTTCTTTTCGTTTGTACGAGCCCAAAGTAAGAAAAGAAAATTGTCAGAGTAATTTATTGTATATCTAATATCGATTGTTTCCAATTATTTTTATTCGAGAATAGAGTATATTCTTTTTATTATTTTAATAATTAATTTTTATTGAAATTTCCTTGAATAATTTATATAAAATATTTCACTCGGTTAAATAATTTCATTATTTCGAGAATGGGATTTTGTTTATCGAGTAAATTTTAATAACTCTTACATTAGTAATTTATATTTCATATTTGCTAGTTGAAATTATTTATTTCTGATATATCGTTCGTTTAAAACTTATTTTTATTTACGAATAAATTTTTTCACGACTCACAATTTCCGCTTTAAAAAAAGAAAATGTTAAGTTATTTATTTTATTCGACTAATACGAATGTATATTCGTTCTTTATCATACCAATTATTATACCGAACGAGTTTTAATCGAATTTTGATGAAGTGCGTTCAGAGTAAATATTATTATTTTTTATTATATATCATAATATTAAAAAGCAAACAAAATAAAACGAAATAAAACACACGTAAACAAATTCAAAATTAATTTTGGTACGATTAACGAAATCACGAAAAATAATGAGCACACGCACCTAATGAAATAAAAGAAAATAATTAAAATAGATAATATAAAATATAAAAGAGATACCGATTAATGAAGGACGTAGGTGTAGAGTAGCCTAACTGTAGGCGAGATCTGATAACTTTTTCCTGTACGCTGACCATCCTGGAACTTCGTGAGCTGTGATGTACCCTTGTTGTTCTAATCACTTGATAACAATGATGCTGAGTTTGTGGCGAACAGCCTGACAGCCTATCGTTGCTGTCCCGTGGTTCAACCATCATGAACATGATAATATCAATCTCTTTCACTATTACACCGCACAACTAAATACACTTATATTATTTTTCTTTTTTTTCTTCTTCTTTTTCCTTATTTTTCACCATTCTTCATATCGTCCTTTTCACTATATTTTTATCCTTCATCATTTTTATTGTCATAGTTCTTCTTCGATATCACAGTTTTATTTCTTTGGTTTTTTATCGTCATACGTCAGAAATTGTCTTGTTCAGTTTAGATACATTTCGGTATCCCCAACAGACCTATTTTTATTTTAAATAATATTTTTGTTTATCTTTAGGAAATCGTTTCGAGAGAGAAATTGTAATAGAGAGGAAGGGACAAAGGTATACAGAAAGTAAATTCAATAAAATCATTTTAAGAGAGAAAAGAGAGAGAGAGAGAGAGAGAGAAAAAACAAATGTACATTTGCTAGAAAAATATTCACAGTTAGAAATTCTTAATTAATTCTTTTTTTTTATAATGGCTAATCCAAAATGATGAATGAAAGTATGAACGGAAGCATAAATTTGAAAATAGAACGACGAGTTCTCTTACCTAATTTAAGTGCTATATCAGTAACATATGCATATGTGCACGCACGCTCCACACATATACTATACATATGTATAGTAAATAGTAACATCCAAACTTAACTATCAACAGTATAACGATTTCGCTCGTTCTTCTTTTTCATTCGATACGACTGGGTGACTCGAATCGTTATGACTTTCTAACGACGCTCGATTAATATGCACAAGCATGGATGTCGACGTTTCGATAAGGTCGTTTAGTTGCAAACGCGAATCTCGATAATATTTTCAAGATTTACACGAATTCGCGTCAGGTTTTCTTCTTTGATCTTCTCTAATTTTCTGTTCATTCATTTTATCTGACTGATTATTAGATAATAAATTAGAGAATGTGAAATTTATAGTTGGCATTTTTGTAAGTTAATTTTTTTAATTAATTAATTTTGGTATTGTAGTACTATACTATAGTTATTTATCGTATTAGACATGGTATAAATGATCGTAAAATTAAATTAAATTTTCTTGAAATTTTTACGACCAATTTTGTTAGATTGTGAAATCATAAATCTACGAAATTCTGACTTATTTTGTGCTATATTATAATATAGTGTACTCTAATATTTTGTATTAAATTATATTATTATCACTCTCTATTATACTATATTAATATTCAAATATCCTATTTTTTTCTATATCGAACTAACTTCACCGAATATAATACAAATAATTTAACATCACTTTTATAAAATCTAAAACCATAAATAAATAATAAAAAAATTACAAATTTAGGAGATTGATTTGAGTATAAACGAAAATGCGAAATGTAATTCTGATGAATGTACCATACCTACATATACCGTTAGAGTGACTTTTGATTAGCTTCTAATTGCACTAACCGTAACTTGACGTGAACGTTAAACGTCGATGTTGGGTACTCGTTAGCACGAATTCTACTACTGATTTCTGACATTGGTTACGTAAAACGGTTTACCAAACGTGGAATGTGTACTGTGTTTTAGTCTATCCTCTTCCCCTTTTATCTATTTATTCCCTTTTTTTATTTTTTTATTTTCATTTCAAATGGTCGTTTCGTTCGTTCTCGGTTGGGGTCAAGACAATTTAAAAAGGTGCGACACGAAATTGCGACCGGAAAAGTTTATGATCGTTGAAAACGGACGTGTCGAGGGATCTGAGGGGGGATACCGTTTGTTCTTGTTTAGCTCGTTCAGTATTGGGGACGCGCACGTTCGGAAAAAATCAAAGACAATGAATAGTAATGAACGAACACATTTTGAATCTCACTCGTCTCCCTTCTCCTTCTTCTCCTCGTTTCATCGCTGCACGTGGAATCTATTTTGATTTGAGCTCTATTTTATGGCTGACGGAAAGTTTTTGTTAACTATATGATTTATAGACATCTATTTTATATCTTTATTGTATTGAAATCTTTTATCTTATACATAAAAAAAAGGATTATTTATCATTATTGTATAAATATGGATTAAGGCAAAAGTCATGTATCAATATTAAATTGATAAATATAGTAATTTAATTGAAATTATCTATTATGCGAAATATTTAAAATTGTTCACTTATAATTTTGATGGTGTTAGACTTCTGTCTCACTCTACATATCTTTATATATAAAATTTCAATGAACTTCGAAACTATTGAGCCGATTTTAATGAAATTTTTTTTATTTAGTATTGCTAATTTAAGGATTTGTTATTTAAAGGTAATCAACATTTTATAACAAAGCCACAGCAACGCGTGGCCGGAGTGTTCTAGTATATATATACACTTATTTTTATAATTTTATATTATTTTAATGGTTAAGCCTAAAAAAAATTATTGAAAAAAAAATATATTTATTATTTGAGTATTTATCTCGATAATTTCGATATGAAATCGATATAAGATAATTTCGAGCATGAAATCTAGCATTAACGAGAGAGAGAAATTTCTCTATCTTTGAAATTGTATGGAATTCGTTAAGCAAGAATCAATAATATCTGAATGAATAGGAACCAATGGAATCGTATCAAAGAGCTATGTATAGTGTATTATGAATTCTTTCTTCCAATTATAATCCAGGTTCAATGGACGAGAAATCCACGCAGACGATTAGGTATAAAATAAAAAGTATTACAGCGCAAAAAACAAAAAAAAAATAGAATAGAAAGAGAAAGATAAATAAAATAAAATGAAAAAGTAAATAAATAAATCAATCAAATCGTTCGCTCGTTCATTCGATCGGTTTGAATATACCGAAACATGATATCGAGTAAAAATTTCTATAGGATATCGTAACTCTAGCTCTCCAAGAGTGCAAATATTTTTTCAAAAAATATTTGTGAAGTATACGTGGCATCAATTATATCGAAGAATCTCTCTAAACATTTTTCTAATGTATGCAATACTAGTGGTTTTTTATCGTAAACACTTAAGAACGTCCCGTTAATCGATATCAGACCTTCGTTTCATTTCCATAACGCGAATGTGTTAAGATAAAACTTTTTCAATTAGGGACAAAACGTGAGATTCAGTTGAATTATTGTTTTCTAATTACTAGTGAAAATTGTTAGAGAAGATTTTATTGTCTTGACAAAAAATTATAGTGCTTATATGATAATAATAAAATTTTAAGTGAAGTTTTTCATTTTTTTCTTATTTTTCTTAAAGTATGAATTATAATTAGTATTAGGATAATTATATTCAAATGTAATTATTATATTGTATTAAATTATATTGAAATATTATATTTTATTGTAGTATGCAATGTTAGTAATGTATACTAATATTAAACTAATATTATACTATACAATATATTATAATATTATTTATACAATATTGTATACTGTCATATATTACACTATACTATAATAAACTAGTATATAGTACATTTGTACAAAACAGTACTGCATAATATAGTATGGCATACTAATATAGCGTACCAATAACGTGATTACAGATAGAACTCATGTATTCAAAATTATTCGTAATAAATAAGTTTTTGTTAGATACATAACTTGGTAAAAAAAATAATAAAAAAAATGTGGCATATTCGAGTTACTTCATACTGTACTTTCTAACGTATAAATCTTTCTCTCTCTTTTTCTAAAAATCGTCACCTAAAAAAAAAGAAAATGACGAGGAAGAAAAGAAATGGTATCACGAGATTCAATGAGTATTCGATATCCTTCTCGATTTCCTAAGACGTCTTTTCCTTGATATACCCCTCTCTTTCTTTTCCTCTCTTTTCCTCTCCTCTAAGGGATATTCGTTTTCGACGAGTCAGCTAGCCCGAAAATACCAATATCCGATAAGGTACTAACATAAGTTAAAAACTAATTTCTCGGTTCTACGACGCGATCTAAGAACGCGAATCTATCGAGCCCTGATTAAAGTCACCACTGAGGAGATAAGAACAGGAAGTTAAGGTAAAAGAAGAAGAAGAAAGGGGGATGGACGAAGAAAAAAGATAAAGAGAGAGAGAGAGAGACAGACAGACAGACAGACACAGAAACAGAAACAGAAAAAAAAGAGAGAGTGTGTATGTGGTGTAAGAAAGAAAAAGATGGAGAGAGAGTGAGTGTAAAGAACAGGAACAAAAAAACAAAGAGAGAGAGAGATGTGTAAAAGAGAAAAAGATGAAGAGAGAAAGGGTATGTTTGAAGCAGAATAAGGGAAATAAATAGAGAATAAGACAATGCGAGAGGAAGAAAGATAGAAAAATACCTTGATGTATGTAACATCGGGGAACACAAACTGATTCACCATCGAGACTCGACTACCCGTTGTCATCGTCGTCGTAGTCGTTGTACATAGGTACGTACTGTTTGCCGTTAGCTCCGATACCATAATAGAACTGTCAAAGTCGAATGAGAAAGGTGGGACAACGTCCCTCCCCACCCAACCCCGTTGGCTAACCCCTTCTACATGGCTCTTTATCGCCATTTCAACGCCATATATATATATATATATATATATATATACACATTGTTAAACTATTACAATAGTGTTGTCCACGACAAAATGCTCTTGGTAATGCGACTTCGAGTCGTTCCAAAATGGAGTTCGATACATTTGGCCAAGCGGAAGTTTTCTATGAAGAAGAGTCTAACTTTTAAACTTTCCCTCGTATCCGATTTCCATCAGGTTTATTTTTATCGGATTTCGCGTTATTCAGTTTCTTGTTATATCAATAAATTGGGAGAGTTTGTAGGAGTATTTTAGAGTTTTATTTTTCATTATTTTTAATATTTTTGCTTATACTTATTATATAATAATATAGTATAATATATAAGTAATTATTTAATTTTGAAATTATTTTTATTAATAAGCCTATATGAATTTTCATATATTATTTCTTAAGAAATGAAATATATATTTTTCAAATGTAAAAAAAGAACGCTAACATAAGCGTAATTTAAAAATAGTAAAAAGCGTGAAAATAATTATAATAAATCTATCTTTACATACATTAAACGTCTCGATAATTAAATCCTTTTCATTGCATTATACATTCGTGTTTAAAAATTAGAAACGTTAAGTAAATTTCGTCGTTAGATAATTAAACACGTATTATTAGCATGTATTTATGCTATTCTTATGTTTGACTTTCCTTCGACTACTTTCAGGTTAAGAATAATAAAACGTTGGTTGAATTCATAGATCCGAATAATCTCGACTATATCAATTTCGTGAAAGCTTGAAATCATTTTTAAAAA